AGTCTATGCCCTCCTCTTGACTATATCCTTGAACTACCAATCTTGCCTTATTTCTTGTAACTGTTCCATCTTCATCAAGTTTGTTTATGAGGACCCATTTTGTGCCTATTACTGATATGTCCTTGGGTCTTGGAACCAGATGCCAAACTTGACTTCTCTCAAATTGGTTGAGTTCATCTTGCATTGCATTCACCCAGTCTGCATCCTGCAAAGCCTCAGCAACATTTTTAGGTTCAATAAGAGATAGAAGAGTATCAAAAGCACAAAGATTCTTCAAAGAAGATCTGGTTTTGATTCCAGAGGCTGGATCAATAATTATGTTCTCAATGAGATGAGAACTATGGTATTTGTAAGGTTTCACAACCAGCTGGTTTCCCCTAGATGTTCGTTCAATGTTTTGTTGCTGAGAAACATGTTCATGGACAGGTTCCCTCGTGGTTTGAGGATCAGTTCCTCTTTGTCCAGTTCCCCCTATCAGGTTGCCTTAGGTAGACGAACCTGTTCCATCACCTGTTCCTTCCTCCGGTGCAGCTTCAGTCTAGGCTGTGGTTTCATTTGAATTTCTTACCAGCCCAATTGCTTCATCTTCATGTTCCTGCCTCTCAGAAAGAATGTTAGTTTCATCAAAAACCACATGTACACTTTCTTCTACATACATAGTTCTTTTGTTATAGATCGTATAAGCTTTACTGTGTGAAGAATATCCCAAGAATACTCCCTCATCACTTCTGGGATCAAACTTACCTTGGGAGTCTTTACCGTTGTTGTACATAAAGCACTTGCATCCAAATGCCCTAAGATGGGATATATTTGGCTTTCTCCCTTTAAGTAACTCACAGGGAGTCTTCTCAACAAGAGGTCTTGTCATACACCTATTTATGATGTAACATGCAGTGTTCACAGCTTCTGCCCAGAAACTATGGGGCAGTTTAGTAGAAAGAAACATAGTCCTAGCCATTTCTTCCAATCTCTTATTCTTTTTTTCAACTACTCCATTTTGTTGTGGAGTCCTAGGAGCAAAAAAATTATGATCTATGCCATGCTCATCACAAAATTTAGCAAATTTAGCATTTTCAAATTCAGTACCATGATTAGACCTAATTGATGCAAGTTGATTACCTGATTGTTTTTGAGTTTTTCTAACAAAAGAAGTGAACATGTCAAATGCTTCATCTTTAGATGTTAGAAATAGTGTCCAAGTAAACTTAGAGTAATCATCAACAAGCACCATAGCATATCTCTTACCACCTCTGCTCAAGGTTCTCATTGGTCCACAAGGATCCATATGGACCAGTTCCATCGTTCTGGTGGTACTTACCATTTTATTGCTTTTGAAAGAGGATCTTACCTGCTTCCCCCTTGCACAAGCCTCACAAAATTTATCTTCCTTGAACTTAATGTTAGGCAGTCCTATCACCAAGTCCGTGGAGACTAGTTTGTTGAATTGACTTAGACTGGCATATCTAAGTCTTTTGTGCCAAAGGGGGGATCATTATCCAACACACTTAAGCAAGTGAGTTCATTATCTGAGAGTGTGGACAGATCCACAATATATATGTTGTTCACTCTTTTTTCTTGCAAAACTATCTTGTCATTGATAAGATTAATCACAAAGCATTTTGTAGAGGTGAATGCAACCATGTTAACTCTATCACACAATTATGATACACTTATTAGACTGTACTTCAGTCCATCAAACAGGTAGACATTCTCAATAGAGTGAGCGTCAGTCTTACCTACCTTGCCAACCCCAAATGATCTCACCTTTCTTCCCATTTCCAAAGGAGGCATTACCTCCTTTAAGGTCCTCAAGTGAAAGGAACTGGGTTTTGCTTCCTGTCATATGCTTTGAGCAGCCTCTATCCATATACCATATTTGGCTGATCCCCTTCACTTGGACTTACAAAAGAAAATCAAGAGTTAGTCTTAGGAACTCAAACTAGTTTGGGTCCCTTTACATAGGCAAAAGGATGAATCAAATTCTTTTTAGAACAACTTAACAACCTATTTTTCCCTTGAGCAAATTCTTTTATTCTTTTGACTTGCCTTTTCTTTTGCAGTGCATTCACTTTTATAGTGACCAGTTTTACCACAGTGTCTGCAAATTTCGCTCTTAGAAAGTGTGAGGTACTTGTTTTTAGGATCCCACTTGGGTGCAGGGTTCCCAACGCCAAGTCCTCTTTTGTTGCTAATATGGTGTTCTTGTAGCCATGAAAGTGCAGCGGAGGACCTGTTCCATTTCCAAGTTCTGTCTAGTTCATGCTTGACCTTGCTCAGATGCTCCTTTAGAAGTCTTATCTACTCATCTCTTTTGTACAACTCATCTTTTATTTTTCCTACATTTTCTTCTAAAGTGAGTTGTGTGTGATCAGATTTCTTTTTACCTGTTCCTAATTTAATTTTAGATTTTCTGATCTAAGCTCTAGAGCAACAGTGTCAGGTTCATGAACCTGGTTCTTTAACACAACATTTTCACTTTCAGTTTCACTAGCCCTAAGTTCCAGGTTTTTGCACTTAGCTTTTAAAACTACACACTCTTTTGATAGCTGTTCCTTTTCATTGTTATCCTCAAATTCATCAATTAGCTCTAGGAGCAACTCAGATAACCTTTCCTTAGGCAAAAATTTAATCTTGTCTTTGAGATGAGAAACACTTACCTCAGCTTCTTCATCAGATTCTCCAATAGCCATAAATGTTTGTTCATCATCATCATCATTTGAGCTTTCATCTGAGCTATCTCCCCAAGCAGCGACCATAGCCTTTGTTGATCCTTTGAGGTTGCTTTTCTTGGGTTGAACATGTTCCTTCCTTCTTCCACTCAATTTCCCACAGAGGACAGTTCTTGATGTGGTGATCAGTCTTTCCATACTTGTAGCAGCCATCATTGGTTTACTTCTCAAGAGCTTTTGATTTGCTGTAGCTACCACTTCTTGAAGAACCCTTTCCTCTTCTTAGGTACTTCTTGAAATCTTTGGTGATCATGGCCATTTCATCATCTTCCAGATCAGAACCTTCAGTGATTATGAGAGCCAAACTTCTTTCCTTCTTAGGTACATCCATCTTCATGGTCTGTCTCCTAAGTTCATAGGCAGTAAGCTTTCCTATCAATTCATCCAGAGGGAGAGGGGCAATATTCTTTGATTCTTGGATAGCAGTGTTTTGCTCTCCCAAGTGATAGGCAAGACTCTAGTCAATATCTTTTCGACCCTTTCTTCTTCAGGAATCATCCTTCCAAGAGATTTCAGTTCATTTGTCAGTGTAGTGAACCTTGTATACATCTCTTGAATGGTTTCTCCTTTCTTCATAGCAAAACTCTCATATTGAGGGTATAGTAGAGTTCCTCTAGATCTCTTCATCTGAAGTGTTTTTTCATGAGCCACTTGCAGTGTGTCCCATATTTGCTTAGCAGTGGTACAACCTTGGATTCTGCTGTACTTCATCTGGGCCAAGTCCACAAAAAAGCCATTTCTTGGCTTTAGCATTCTTCTCCCACTTTCTCAAGTCTTCAGCAGTGCAATCAGCTCTTGTCTTTGGTGCATCTACTCCTTCAGCATTTTTCTTCAAGGTAGCCAATGGACCATCGGTGACAATGTCTCATAGCTCGTAGTCCTCTCCTATAATGTGATCTCTCATCCTGTTTTTCCACCAAGAGTAGTACATGGCATTAAAGAGTGATGACCTAGCAGCGGATTGCCCTTCCCAGTTTCCAGGTGGTGCACTCATGTTGATTTTCTCCTAAGGTGTAAGCCTCTTCAAGGAGAACCTGCTCTGATACCAATTGATGTTTTGTACTTCAATGCCACACAAGAGGGGGAGGGGAGAGGTGATTTGTGTGGTGTCCAATTTTCGTGTGCACAGATTATAGAAGGATCTGGTTCTTCTATGTGTTCCTTAAACGACTATTGCGGAAATAATAAATGTAGAAAGTATAGAACACAAGTATATTTACGTGGAAAACACCCGGCTCAAAAGGTGAGAAAGCCGCGACCTACTACTCAGTAGGATTTTCCCCAACACTTCACTAAATCACTGAGCCAAAACAACATTTACAAAAACTCTTTGTAAACCTAAGGATTACCTCTAATCCCGTTGTGGCAACCAACCTCTAACTGTTGCGACAACTTTAAGTTAACTCTAACTTGAATACTCAGAGTACCTAATACAATTGCTTCTAGATAAAGATGAAAGGTACAATTTGAAAACACCTACTACAATTGAACTAGAATAAAAGACAAACACTTGGAACTGGTTCTTCTATCTGGTTCATGTAGCTTCAGGTTCGCACACTTAATCACACAAGAATTGCTTGCAAAATACCTTGCTATTTTGCTCTCAACTCACGTTTAACTTCAGCTTTTGTGCGTATCTGTAAAGTGAGAACATCTTGCAATTCATAGAGTTAGTAGAATAGGAAATAACTAGAGTCCCAATGCTATACTCTTCCTTGGCGGAAGAGTACTAGTTATCCTCAACTTCTAACTCCTCCCTTATCTTGGATAGTGTTCTCTTCGAGTAAGGAGTCCTTCTCCTTATCAATTATGCAACCTTTTCGATCAGGAGATATCATATATAACCACTTAAGCTTATCTCGCTCACGTGCATCCCTTGTGCTTGAATATGCCCGTGTCTGTGCACACTGTGGATGGACCTGGTTCATGCTTGAGTTCCTTTATTAATCTTCAAAACAAACTTCACTTAGGCCAACACCTTTCATCACTTCTTTCAATTCTTCATCAACAAATAAATCTTCTTTTGCTAAATTATCATGGGGCTTCTTCTTCTCATCAAAATGTTAGATTCTATTCATATGAGTTGCTTAAGAAATTAATTTATAATTGTATTATTTTTAGAACAAACATTATGCTGAAAATTAAAATTTGGTTGTATTACATTACATAGTACGAACGAGTGATTTATCGCATTGGATAGTTCTTAGGTTGTGTAAATAGTTAGACAATGCGTCCATACACGTCAAAATTACATACTTTTTTTTTGGTAGTAACAATCAACAGTAGTATGTCGTGAGAGTAGGACTTATTATGCGTGAATTTACACGAGACAAACACGGCCTTACCGTCAAAAATAAAAATTATACAAAGAGCAAGCATCTTTCTGGCAATCATCACTTCAGCCGGATATCTCAGGGAAATGGCAAGCTCTCTGCAGCGAATAGCGAGGCATTCCCCTCTAGCCGCCTACCGATCTTCTCTCACGCCGATATGGAGACAATTTGCGTCAGAAGCGTTGGTCGAAATCAAGCCCGGTGAGATCGGTATGGTCTCTGGTATTCCTGATGAACATCTTCGCCGAAGGGTATTTACTTCTTCTCCTTATGCTCCTAGGCTAATATTTATTCTTCTCTCAGGTCATTTAGGTGCAAGAAAAACTTCATTTTACGCAACCCATTTAGGGCTTCTACAGCAGATCCATTGATTCCGCCATTTTAGGGTTAGCAAATGGTTGCGGAATGGATATGGAGGATTCATATATCCGGATTCAAATTGATTTGGGATTGTTGTAGTTGATTGATTGCTGTCACTTGTATCTTTGAGAATTTATCTCGACTCCATTTCAAAGTAATATATTTAGCTGTTTCTTTATTCCCACTCGTTTCTTCTTCTCACGCCTATTCAATGAGGCAGAAGAGAGCATAACTGCTCAGATGCTCGAGAGAAGTAAAAAGTTCTAATTTTTCATGTTTAGGAGCAAAGCGAGCTTAGCAAGTATAAGCCTTAAGATCAGTCTCTAGCTTGGCTTTATAGAAACTTTAGCTCCAGGGAGTTATTTGATCCATTTCTGTACAAATTTAGCTAAATAATATCTTCAGCTTGCATTGGATTGCGTTAAATATTGACTATGAGATGGTTAGAGTTCTAATTTTGAATTGTCAGGGCCAAGAAAGAGCTCTTTAAAATTTGTAGGCTTAGATATAACTTCTGGTGTTGGATTCAGCTAGAACCATTAATTTGAAAATAAAAATAGTAGTATAATTCATGGGTTGGTGCCCTCTGGACGATTATTAGACACCTTTTTCCTCTATGTTTTCCGGTCAAGTTTGGTCTATTCCGTATTTTGCATGTCATGTGCATGCCTTGCCCTCTTTTTCAGTTTTGATAAATTCTGGATTCATTTCTATTTATACAAATGTATTTGGTTGTTCATCACAATGGCAGTGATTACACTATTAAATCAGCTCCTAAGTAAATACCAAAATTTGTTTTGGTCTTTACAGGTGCCGAATATCCTATTTGTCCTTTTAATACATATATTTTCTGCTTCTTTAACTGCAAAATTGTTATCAGTTATTATTGGTGGTTTAGATCTTTATGCACTGCTACCTATAAAAAAAGATCCTTATGCACTGATCCTTTTTGGTACTTAATCTTGTTTGCTTATCAGGTTGTGATTTTCTCACCTGCTCGGACTGCTAGTCAACAGGGGTCTGGAAAAGTTGGAAGATGGAAAATCAATTTCTTGTCAACCCAGAAGTATGCTTCTATTTATCTACCTTTTCCTTTTCAGTATAATGAAGTTAGTATGGTTTATCAAAATCAATCTATATTCAGCCAGCATGAATTGAGCAGGAGTTTGTACAATATTAACATTACAAGCTCATCTACCTTCTCCTTCCGTCCCAAGTAAAAACCAGAACAAGAAACAGGGAGAAAACCTGAACAAAAGCTTTGATTGTCACCATTAAGAGTATAAGTTCATTGAGCCTGGGTGTCTTATCACAAAATAAAAGATCAACTATGAAGCTTAGATGCGAAGGATAAAAATTTGTTGATTTATTTGCCTCCAGTGGTTCATAGAATGTATACAGATGCGGAATTTATTGTCTTCCATTTTATTTTTCATTTAATACATTTCTGTACATCTGGCAATGGTGCTTTTTGGTTGTGGACGGACATAATAAGGAAGACAGGTTGGTTTTAACCAGTCGGGCTTTTCAGAAAGGCATCACTAATAGGAGTTCCACTTATTGGATTCCTGAGAATCCTGTTCTGCTGTAAAGATCAATCCGCGAGCAACCTATTTAAACTTCAATAGAGAAAAAACCCGATCCATTAAATTCAGCTTAACCAGATCTACACTGTGAATTTTTTTTGAAGTTGCGAAAATTTGTGCTGTTTTTATTAAAGAAATGTGTATCCATATCTGAAGATGCTGAGAGAGAAGCACATATAATCTGGGTCCAGCATAATGGCTGCATGCTCTCCTCTATGCAGAGCAAACTATTTTATTTTTTCGAGTTTCTGATTTGCAACTGCCTGTATCTTTTAGGATCGAGAGATAACTTTTGTTTTTAAATGGTGGATAGATTGGCGACATAGCATCACTAAAGCTGTAGTCTTTTTATATGTTAAGTTCGAAGATCCATTCCTTAAAGGGCAGCCCAGTGCACTAAGCTCCCGCTATGCGCGGGGTCCGGGCAAGGGCCGGACCCCAAGGGTCTTTCGTACGCAGCCTTACCCTCCATTTCTGGAGGCTGTTTCCACTGCTCGAACGCGTAACCTCCTGGTCACATGGCAGCAAATTTACCAGATATGCCAAGGCTACCCTTCCGAAGATCCATTCCTTTTCCTGTTTAATTTTTTTCTCTTGATCAAGTAAATTCTTTTACCTGTTTGAACTTTAGGATTCAATCAGATTCCTGTTTCTTTAAAAATCATTTGCATATGTTGTCTTGATTTGCTCAGTGTTATCAAAGGCGAAAAGTGCAAAAAGGCTCTAAGGTCCGTTGGGGCTTTAAGTGCAAAGCGCAATTAAAACGTGAGCTTTAATTAAAAAAGGCGCAACTGGAGAAAAAGTAAAAATATGTATATGTAATCCAAGACCAATAAATATAAGCATGAATAACAAATATATGGACAAAGAAATTGAAAGAAATTACGATAAAGTGAAATATCAATTGTTAGTGTCGCTTTTTCAGGATTATACTTATTGGCAAGGAAAAGTATGCCTTAGAGCCTTAATGTGACACTGAAGCGCCCACAAAGCGAGGCGAAGCGCTCAACATGTTTGAGCCTCGCTTCAGGGCTTAAGCGCGCCTTTGACATAAGTGGATTTGCTTCGCTAATTGCACTTCAGATTTTGTCATAAAATTAATTTTGTTATTCTTTTCTATCTTTTAAATCCAAGGAATCGAAATTTCGTTCTTGATGTTGTTTTCAATAGAATCTGTTGAAATGTCTCGTTACCTTTGACAGAAATTGCTAACAACAACAACAACAACAACTACCCAGTAAAATCCCACATAGTGGGGCCTGGGGAGGGTAATGTGTATGCAGACCTTACCCCTGCCCCGATAGGGCAGAGGGGCTGTTTCCGATAGACCCTCGGCTCAGAAAGACGGAAATAAAAAAACAAGAAAAGAGAATTCATTAGTAACTCCAGTAGAAACCGTTATAGTAACAGAAGCATAAAAACCAAAAGATGAATGACATGCAATAACAGTAACCAGAGTCTGAGGCCCGGGGCTAAGATAAAGAGCAAGAATAGTGTGGGTTCAACATAAACTGCAAGCCATCTAAGATCAACCCTAATCCAACCCCGCCTCACCCCCGGTATGAAGTAAGGAAAGCTCTACTACCCCTATCCTACAACCCTGATGCTTGACCTCCAGGCCTTCCTATCAAGGGCCATGTCCTCGGAAATCTGCAGTCGTACCATGTCCTGCCTGATCACCTCTCCCCAATACTTCTTAGGTCTCCCTCTACCTCTTCTCGTACCCACCACGGCCAACCGCTCACACCTCCTCACCGGTGCATCAAGGCTTCTCCTCTGCACGTGCCCGAACCACCTGAGCCTCGCTTCCCGCATCTTGTCATCCACAGGGGCGACGCCCACCTTCTTTCGAATATCTTCATTCCTAATCTTGTCTATCCTAGTGTGCCCGCACATCCACCTCAGCATCCGCATCTCTGCTACTTTCATCCTCTGGATATGGGAGTTCTTAACCGGCCAACACTCTGCCCCATACAACATGGCCAGTCTAACCACAGCTCTATAAAACTTACCTTTGAGTATCGGTGGCACTTTCTTGTCACACAAGACTCCAGATGCAAGCCTCCATTTCATCCAGCCTGCCCCTATGCGGTGAGTGACGTCCTCGTCGATCTCTCCGTCCCCCTGAATCACCGACCCAAGGTACTTAAAGCTATCTCTCTTGGGGATGACCTGTGACCCAAGCCTCACGTCCCCGCCTACTTCCCTCGACTCAGCGCTAAACTTGCACCCCAGGTACTCTGTCTTAGACCTGCTCAATTTGAAACCCTTAGACTCGAGAATCTGTCTCCAAACCTCCAATCTCTCGTCAACACCGGCCCTCGTCTCGTCAATTAGAACTATGTCATCAGCAAATAACATACACCATGGCACCTCCCCTTGAATATGGTGTGTCAAAGCATCCATCACCAAGGCAAATAAGAACGGGCTAAGCGCAGAGCCTTGGTGTAATCCCATAACAACCGGGAAATGCTCCGAGTCGCCTCCCACAGTCCTAACCTTAGTCTTAGCTCCATCATACATGTCCTTGATCGCTCTTATGTAGGCTACCGGCACGCCCTTCGCCTCAAGACATCTCCAGAGCATCTCCCTAGAAACCTTGTCATACGCTTTCTCCAAGTCAATAAACACCATGTGCAGATCCTTCTTCTTATCCCTGTACTGTTCCACCAACCTCCTAATAAGGTGGATAGCTTCCGTAGTGGAGCGGCCCGGCATGAACCCAAACTGATTGCCGGATATAGACGTCGTCTTCCTCACCCGCACCTCCACCACCCTCTCCCAGACTTCCATGGTATGGCTAAGTAACTTGATACCCCTATAATTGTTACAATACTGGATATCACCTTTGTTCTTGTACGACGGTACCACTGTACTCGAGCTCCATTCCTCTGGCCAGTGTTTTGGAGAGCGCAAAGCGCAAAAAAGCGACAAGGGCTCGCCTCGCTTCAAAAGCGAAGCGCACGCTATATTAAAGTGAAGCGCAATTCTTAAAAAACATAATGTAAAATTGTAAATAATCAAAAACATCAATTTAAATACTTAAAAGTGGGTACTAGGTACCACCAAATCATCCACAAACCATAGGACAAGGAAATAAAATAATAATTTTGTTGAAAATAATTAAATATAAATGAAATAAAATAATTAAATATATATATATGCTGAAAATATAATAATAATTTTATATGCTGAAATAAAATAATAAATGAAATGCATTAATTAAATATATATATGCTGAATAATAATAATTTTATATGCTGAAATAAAATAATAAATGAAATACAATATATATATATATATATAAACGAAAAGGAAAAAAAAAAGAAAAAAATGTTCCTTCCCCTGTTCTGACCGTATAAAGTCGAAACAGAGAGAAAGAAAGAAGAAGCAGAAAAATGAAGAAGAAGAAGAAGAGTGGTCGACTGGTCTGAAGAAGAAAGCAAAAGAAAGAAAAAACAAAAAAACGAGAAGAAAGGAGAAGAAGTTACCTGGGTTGGTCTTCGAGGTCGACTGGTCGAGCGACTCAAGAAGAAGAAGATGGAACCCTTGCTTTTTTTTGTTGACTGAAGAAGAAGATGAGCGACTGTCGAGCCTCTGTTTTTGGTCGAAGAGGGTTTTTTGTCAATTTAGGGTTTGATTTGTCTCAGACCCAAAGTTCTTTTTTTTTTAAAAGGCCCCTGCGCTTTTTTCAATTAAGCGATCCCTTCATCGCTTTGGTCGCTTCGTCGCTTCATCGATTTTTTCAGGGAAGCGTGCGCTTCTGCAAATCGAGTCGCCTCAAGGAACTGGAAGCGACACAGCATCGCATCGCCTCGCTTAAAATCGAGTCGCCTCAAGGAACTGGAAGCGACACAGCATCGCATCGCCTCGCTTCGCGCTTTAAGCGACTAAGCGCTCGCTTCTTTCAACACTGCCTCTGGCATCCTCTTCGTCCTAAAAATTGACAGAAATTGCTAGTGGGAAAAAGTGCAAGTACTACTGAATTGTTGATTTATCTTTATGGTCGGTTTCCCTTGTCTTTTTATATAAGTACAAATTCAGATGAAGAATGCTTCTTTCATGAGAACTGCAATAGAGGATGCTAGTTGAATCATCTCATGCTATTTTGAAATAAAATAATATACTCTAAAGGCAAACTCTTTGTGCTCTTCCCTCCAATTGAAGTATGTAAATGTTGTTTTGTCATCTACTTTTAGTTTAATGTCAAGCTTCTGCTCTTCTGCATATCTTTTGTGCCCAAGTTTTACGTTGAAGGGTGATACACATATTTCTTTCTTCTATATATGCAGATGGGAGAATCCATTGATGGGTTGGACATCCACAGGGGATCCATATGCCAATGTTGGTGATTCCGCGCTTAGTTTTGAGAGTGAAGAAGCTGCAAAAGCATTTGCTGAAAAGCATGGCTGGGAATACACGGTACAGCTTAGAGTTCCTTAACATTTCTATTGTGTTTTTTGTTAGCTTAATGACCTTTGTTGTTTTTCCGTTCCTTCACAAGTATTCTGGAATTAACAGAAAACACCTTCTAGAAGCATCAGCCAAGGGCGGGGGCTGAGTGCCATTTCACCTTCCCCCTTGGACCAATTATGAACTAGTTCTTCAAATACTCCACGTCCGGGCAAGCCCTCTCTGTCCAATTATGAGCATGTTCTTCAAATGCTCCATGTTGGGAAAAGCGTGATTTTGTATGAAATTTTAGGTTTTGGCACCTCCAAAAAGCTCTTTGACTGTTCAAGCCTTTTAATCCTATATGCGAGCCCAACTGGTCCTGCAATTGGAATTATGTGCCATTGAAATAAGGCAGAATAGCCTAGTAGACTTTTGTACTTGTTTCGGTTTGTTATCCCGGTCCCTGTATTTCACAAAGTTTCACCTAGAAACTTATACTTGATCGAAACCTATTTTTTAAACCCCTATGACCGTTGACCGACTATACGTGGCAATTTGAGTGCTGAGTTGGACAAATGTGTGTAATTCACGCGTAGAAAGGAGCGTATAATGAAGCTTGAATTCATAGATTTAGATTAAAAGAGAAACCAAAATAAGAAAGAAAAAAAGAAAATGAGAAGGAAAAAAAACATTTGGAACTCGTTTCCCCTTCTTCCCAAGTTGATGTCTTCACCCAAAAGCCCGCACCAGAAATTTCATCGGAAAAATTTCACCTCGCCAAATCTAACACCGCCTTTGCACCATCGGTAACCTTTTGCTTACTCTTCATCCACCGACTCAGAAACGATCTTGCATCACCCGAGATATTTTCGGCGAAAACTACAACACTGCCAGAGTGGATCGGAAGGAATGTTTTACGAAAATATTATTTGTTTGGATTGGAAACTATAACACCGCCAGAGTAGATCGAGAAAGGTCACCGATAACACATTCCTTCCAACTCTTCTTGTTGGGAATCACCACTGCCACCGGCAACCTTCACCACTTGTCCCTCAGCTTTTTCTTCTTATCATCCACCAAAGAAAAATCAACGGGATAGAGGAAAGAAATCCTCCACTTCATATTTCATCTGTCAAAAACCATCGCCACAAAATTTTAATTCTTCTTCTCCAAAATTTTCACTTCACTTCAATTCTTTTAAAATTTATGTTCAAAATTATCTATAAAGATTGTATTTTTTGCAGAAAATGGGAAAAGTATTAGGACTTTGGTTGCTGAAAAAGGGGGAAGATGACACAAATTTAGATTTTTATTATTCTTAACCATTTAACAATCTCCCAAAATTTCTATGAGTGTGAATAAATGAAGTGTGACTTCGAAGGCCACTGTTGAGTAGCAGAATAAGGTGAAAAAGGGGAATTTAGTGTTAGGGTAGGTGAGGTAAGGAGGATAACGGAGAGTATTAAAATTGTAGGAAGGTGGATCCTACTTGGATTGTAGTGCTTCATGCCTTCATCAAACTGATATGGATGAATATTTGAGGATGGAAGATGAGCTTTAATTTTAATATTTGGTTATTTTTTCAGACGTGGTATTAATTATCTGACGTGGATATTATGTGTAATGAATGTCCGAGCGAGTGAGGAATACGCAGTGTCCGAGGGTTTAAAACATAGGTTTTGATCAAGTAAAAGTGTCTAAATGAAACTTCTTAGAGTATAGGGACCGGGATGACAAACTGAAACATGTACAAAGGTCTACTAGGCTATTCTGCCTTGAAATAATATCCATCCATTAAAGAAGTCTCTGACTTGAATTTGGTGTTAGAATACCGACAAGTTGGAAAATTTTTTGTATAACAGATAACAAACAAAATCCAGTCTCAACAAGGAAGTCGGTTGTTGAATCTGATAGAAGTAGAACTAATCAATTGACCAGCATAGGATAGTTTCTCGCTGTGGCAGGGCTTGATCACATTTATGTTCCACCAAAGAATGACTTAATCAAAATGCTGTCCAATTTGCTAGAAAGTAGAACAAGAGGAACCCCAATATCACTAACAAAGTCACATAGCCTTTGAGCCTCAACATCAGATTGAAATGGGAAGAGCTTTTAGAGGAGTTTGTTGAATTATTGAACACTGGTCTTTCGTTGGGTCCCTCTTCTGTGCATCCTCCCCTCTTTCTGCTGCTCTGGAAAATTTTGGTTTATCTTGAGAAATGAACAAAGTAACCTTTGTGTTTGGTTCTTAATGTGATGCTTATGCCGTTCCTTTTATTTTTATCTGCAGGTAAAGAAGCGCCACACACCATTATTAAAGGTTTGAAATCTCTTCTACAAAAAACTGAATTTGTGATTTGCCAAATCCAGCCTCTGGTTCAGACGTCTATGCTGGTTTGTTTCCTCGTGGGGATTGTGAAAACTATCCACTGTTTGCTTAGGACAAGTAGGTTTTCTGGAGACACGTGCATAGAGAAAAACTCCCTAGTCCCTACGAGGGATTACAATCACCTTTGATTTTTTTTTTGTTGGGTGGGGGGGGGGGGGGTGTGGGGGGTTGTACCTTTACTGGTCTAGAAGTTCAGATTTTATTCCTGTTCTGAAAGGGACCTTCCCATCACACACAATTCTCAAGTCTCTCATTTCTACGGATATACAAAGACAGAGAACTTTCTACTAATGATCTGTCTCAAAGGACTTGAAGTAGAGCACAATTTTGTCTTATAGCGCACACACTTTAAAGTCTTGTATGTTTAATGATTGATTGCCTCAAAGGACTTGGAAAAACATAGCATGACTATTCAGTTAAAGCACATGCACCTTAGCAAGAACCTTAGCACATGGGCCTTTCTTAATTTGTTATCTCTTCCAATTTCGTTGTTGCGATCCATGTTTCACTTGCAGAATAAATTGTCGTATTTTGCAGATCAAGTCGTATGCGGAAAACTTCAAGTGGAAGGGGCCTCCCAAAACAGAAGAATAATCTATTTTCTACTGCATTCAAGTACTTGAGACGGTTATGGATGTCCTGTCACAATGTGTTGCACTCCTTGTTTTACCTTACCTTTTATAAAGATCAGTTGGTTACCTCCTTGAAGGATTTTCTTAAGCTTCTTTCAATAATAAATCAAACGTATGAAAATCCACTAGTACATGGAATGTCTTAAAACCTTTATGAAGCAATTTCCGGGTGCTATACCCGATCCTACTTTGTAGTGGTTATTGGAGGTTAGTATTAGGATTGTGGTGCGTCAGAAGACTTATGCCTTGTTATTCTTTTTAAAAGAATTTAGTGTGTGCAGTGGACTGTCCAAGACAAATTTCTTAAGTGTATGAATGCATAAAAGTAACTTCCCCTGAGGAATATGGGAAGTTCACTGAATTTGGCAATAAGAGATTTTTTTCTCCATGATCTAAGCATGAAATAGTAGGTCGGGTTGAATTTGTTTAAGCTTTTTTTTCTTCTTTTTTGTTTAAGCTTGTTCAAGTTTAACAAGTTTGAAAGTTGCCGGTTAGGCTCAGTTAACTTATTAGAACTTTATCAGTTATATACGGATGGATTTTGTGCGATTCTGTTACTTGTGTCAGAACATGTGAAGGCATAGTGATTAGAGTCGCTTCGTAGCTTTCTCAAATGGAAATTGAGGGCTTACTGTGAATTAAGAAGTAAGTATAATTATGGTTGCCAAATCATGAACTCTGACCAAGTTCGAAAATCACAGCTCGTGTTCCTATTTTACTTTAAATATGTTTTCTCCTCGACCTGGTAAGAAAAAAAAATGGATGTTCCCAAGTCGAAAGGAACAGTTGATGTCTGGCCTCTATCGTTTCTTTTTCCCTTCTGTTCTCTAACCCATACCTGCACAATGGTTGATGCATTTTCTAAAATACAACTGGGCGTTAAGTCCTCTATCGTAGCAAGATTAAAATAACGGCAACACACAGAGTTAATTATTCAAATAGATTGAAGATTAACTTTATGTACTCGTTAGCGTAGCCGAGTGGACTAAAGTTTTTCGTTAAAATATCATGGTATAGCTAGTTTTCACACTGGTCAATGAAAAATAGCCAGCGTTTATCAAGTCAATGAAAAATAGCCGCTATTTTGCTGCAACATGGACCGGTCCAGTATAATATACGGGAGTTCTGGTGCATTTGTGTACGAACTCCAGCATATTATGCTGGACCGGTATACTTTGCTAACTCCTGTAAAATTTGCGGGAGACTGGAGCACCAGTGCTCCAAACTCCAGTATATTATACTTGCTGGAACTCCCGTAAAATTTACGGGAGTTCAAGCATACTTATGCTGGAACTCCCGTAAAATTTGCGGGCGTATTTTTCCGGATTTTGAACAGTGTTTTCGCTCAGATTTAAAGTGCTCAGATTTAAAGTGGCTAAATTTCAATGACTTTTGAAACTAGGCTATTTTTCAACGACCAATGGTAAATCTGGTTATTTTTGAATTTCTCCCAAGTTTTTCCTGCAAAATACCGTCAAGAAGCAAAATCTCATGTTTCAAACTATGTGTAAGAGGAGGTTCCATTTCGCTGAAAAGAGCCTGTTGAGGAGCCCTTCCCCTAGTACGAGCAGACAACAAATTTTGGGTCTACCAGTCACCATACTCTAGAAAAGAGGTCTAAGTGTCATTTTACTGATGTTACGTTTAGGCTCCTTAGTTTGTGGATATCTAGTTATCCGAACTATATTTTAGACGCATTGAAGCAGAAGATCTGGTGAAAAAAACAGTAGAAAGCTCTCACGCTTGTTAATTATCTGTCAGAATCGAACGAGAACCAAAAATATAGAGCTTTAGTTGAGATCACAATTAGACTCGAGGTATTAGGCGCCCTTTACTCGGAGTTCAAGAAGAGAGTTATCACACAAGAAAAGAACTGTCTGTAAATTGAGATCAATTAACTTAGATAACTACCATACACTTGGATCAAAATTGATCAGAGAAGTGGGAGGGGAGAAGAGGACAGTGAGAAATGAGCCCACTCCTTTTGTGTGAGAGACTTCTATAATACTACAAGACTCTATCGGACGTAAGGATTATCCACTTAGTCCACTAAATATGAGCTTTGTTGCAGAGTTCGTACACAGACAGAAGAAAAACCTTCAATTCCTATGCTAAAGTGCAATCAATTCGTATACCACTCTTATCAGGTAGCAGTTTTTTCATGTAATACTTTGATCTACGGGCGAGATTGATCTTTTTCCTTCTTTGCTCTGGTATATGATCGATGGAACATTCGGAAAAGCCACGCCTCACAAACCTGTTAGAAATAAAAAGATGATTTTTGAATCAGCAAATTGCCTATGTTCTACATAAATATTTGTTCGAGAACAAAAACAGTCATTAATATTGGATCAGCATCATGAGTTGAAGCTTGAAATATACAAGATATCTCCATTTTCATTTGATCAACGTTTCCGGGAAATTCCTGTTAACTGTAATCCTAATAAAGATACATATAACAGAACAGAGAAATGCAAGCTTTCTCTTTTCATTTAGGTTAGTCACATTAGCTCTTGGTGTCCAGCTAAATTTTTAAGCAAAATCTGGACATAGGACATTTGGATAATCAAACGTATACAGAAAGGTTTTTGATATTGGAGGTGTCTCTATGAATCTGTTAAACATTGGCATATTGTAGACTAGTTTAAAGAATTAAAGAGGTGGTTTTACACTTATGGTAAAGTTGAGGTAGGAGAATATGAATCATCCGATGTTCGTTTATTGAATAAATATTCATTATCTAAGTCTTACAACTACAACCCTGTATGTAAAGAGAAGAATATAATCGAATGAAGAACTTTGATCAATAACTTAGTTGATGCAAAAGGAGGTAGACAGAATTCAAAAATACACGATTTATAGAATAGTAGGTCAATAGTATATGCTTGGAGTAATTCTGGAGTATGAAATTGTATCTCTGAGTTCAAGAACCCTTAAATACCTTTTGACTTTTTTAAGCGTTCAAAGCAAATCGAATTACAGCCAGTTCTCTTCTTCTTCTCTTTGTCAGACTTTTATTAAAATCAAGTATTCATGTTTAACTAGTATATTGGATGTCGCGGCCGGGTTTTAACAACATTCTGTGCTCTAATTTAAACAATGAGCATATTCTGTAGTTTGTATTTCTTTTTCATCTTAGAAACGTAGAACTTTTTTCTTCTCACAAAATGAATAACAGACAATTAATGTCTGAAAGGGTCGTGAATTTTAAGCACACCTTTACAAGGACTCAACAAGAATCCATGAAATAGCCTACCAAGTTTACTTTTTTGTTTCTGAGAAAAAGGAGAACGAGGAATATCGGAGATATGCTGTAAATGTATCAAAAATCTCAAGTAGTTTATAGGCGCCTAACACATATGTCCCTGTTTTAAGTGTCCATGCATCCTACATCAATAATGGTAGAGTGAGCCCAAACAATAATGTTAGTAAGTCAAAAAACAATAGAAACATCATTTTTGTTCTTTTTGACATATGTCAGCCTTATCAAAATACCTCGTGATGGTGTTTGAATCTATTTTTCTTCTTGTTGAGACGTTAATAATATTCAAATTCAGCTTAAATATCACAAATTTCTTTTAACTACATTACTCTGAGCTGTGTTTGGGCTATTGCCACTTAGTTCAGCCGGTTCGAACCTCCACTTGGACAAACTATGTTCACTAGCCCAATTGGAAGTAGAATGTCTGACACTATTTGTAAGCTAGTGAATGCCATAGGAATAAAAGGTAGAAAGGTGAAAAGAGAGTACCAATCAGCTGTGCGAGTTGTTAGTAGGAATAGCATTTGCAATCCAAGGGAAGATGCCTTCTTCTCAATGTAATCTGCAAAATATTGGAAGACAAAGTTATTGGTAAATATGGTAACATGCTCACAAATATAAGTAAAAGTTCAAGGACAGGATTGTCTCTTGGTAGATATAAGTATTAAAATACTTTTTAACATATGGACACTTTGTCTAGGCCAAGGGAGACGGAGAATATAAAATAATTACTTCTCAACATATGGCATATCTTTTATAACCCATTTCTGAGGGGATACATTAAATGGCATAAGTATACGACATATTGATGTCGCTTTTATGTATTACTACAAGTCAACCAATTACCATGTTCAAGTGCCTGTCTTTAGCACCGGATGATTAATCATTTACTTGTTTTCTTCTTCTAAATTTGGACCAATTTTTAAGATTAACAAAAATCAAGATATTAGATTTGGAAAAAAAATAGTCATTCTCTCATGTGTCTGACAGAAGGACATGAGAGACGTTCTCAAGATTTTTATTCATCCACTTATGACCTTTAAAATAGGTTGTTGAGGGCCACACATCATATGATTTATTATTAAAAGGGGGTATTACATTATTGGTAACAAGAAACTTGATATTCTCATCTTGCCCAGGATTTCCCAGAAGAAAAGTACTGGTTATGGTATATATACATCAGCGAGACCGAAGGCTATTCTTGATTCCATAATTGAATAAAATCCCATACCAGTTCTAAGAGGAATATTATGATAAAACTTCATTCGCGACAATACCTTAGAATCACGTAATGGTATTTCTATACATATGAAATTACTTGGCCTAAATCAATTTATCCATTTACATCGCAAGAAAAGGGGGGGGGGGGGGGGGGGGGTAGGGAATCATAGATGGTAAGGTTAAAAAGAATTACAAATACTTTTTGGTACACTTCTTGTATATTTTTTATACCCTTCATTAATAAAATGATTACTTTTTCAATAATAAAATAGATATTACAAATAAAATATTTATTTGAAAAGGATTTGTTGCGATAGGGTGATGTAAGCAATGTCTCGGTGCATGATATGGAATCCCAAACATTCATGACAAACCTATCCATGGTACAAAAATGAAAGAAAACTAAGAATCCTGTTCTGATGCAAAAGTGAAGATTCAAAAATGAAGTAGAAAAATGCAAATAGAAATTCAATATCAGTAAGGATAGGTTGTAAAACTCATTAGATACCATTAACTCTGGTATGAAATTTTCCCCCCCAATTTCCCCAAAATGGAATGAGTAAGAGTTATTACTTATTGACTTGTAATCTGATGATCGAGTCCATTCCATGGTTATAAGTTCATTCCGTAACGGAACAAGCCTGCCATCTTTGGGACATATTCCTATGTGCTCGATAATATGAAACATCGAAAATGTTTGGACTTGTTCACCAGTCTCTTGATACACTTACCCAAGAATACAAGGAATACATGGAAAACCAATAACTATACCCACTTAAAAGTGACTTCCCTTTTATTACAGGCTTATCCAAGTATTTTTAGGCTCTTAAGGAAATATATAAAAACTCTTAGATTAGTCTCTCGCTAATGTACTTGCACCTTCAATGTGGACTAAATAAAATAGCTAA